CTACATCTAAATCTAAAATGAGGCAGATGATGGCCCAGTGGTATTATCGCTAGGCTATTAATCCAGAGACCCAGGTAATAGTCTGGAGACCAAGTTTAAATCCCACATGGCAGATGGTGGAATTTGAATTCAATAATAATCTGGAAATAGGAGTCTAAGGATGATCATGAAACCATTGCTGGCTGTCAGGAAAAACCCATCTGGTTCACTAATGGTCCTTGGGGAAGAAAATCTGCCTAATTCACCTGGTCTGGCCTACATGTGACTGCAGACCCATAGCAATGTAGTTGACTCTTAACTGTCCTCTGGGCAATAAGGGATGGACAATAAATGCTAGTCCAGGCAGTGGTGCCCATATCCCGTGAATTAATTTTAAAAAATCTTCCCTGAGCATGACTCAAAACTGCCTGTGCATCTATCCATGCCATGCTGATAATTGGCTGGTCTCAAATAAACTGAGCTTATTTATACCTTTGTGAAACCTTCACTGTCCACAGTTTCCAGTCATCCCACTTGTTTCTCAGACTGACCACAATAGCAGGTGGCAACCCCCAACTGTGGTATTGCAATTAAACTCTTAAAAACCAATCTGAGTGTGATAGCCTGTGATGTGCTGTGTTCTCTCCACAGTACTGCTTCTGGTTTCAGCTACATCACCAGCAGGAAGCATTAGAGGGCCATCAAATTTTTATACCAACAGAGGAGGGAATGTCAGAAGCACCCCAAATGCATAGGTCAAGATCAGCATGGTGCCAAAAGACGCCTGAAGCACAGCCACTGACCCACTCTTCAGGCAGCTTGATGACTCTGAAGGTTGTGTTCAGGTCACAATTCAGACTTAAGCACAAAAACCAAGGGCTGACATTTTAGTGTGGAACTGAGGGAGGGCTTCAATATGGGAGATGCTGTCTTGCAGTTCAGAGGTTTGATCAAGCCTCTTACACCCCATCAGGTAAGTGTAAAAGATCCCCTAAGGTTTTAATATTTCAATGTCATTAAAATACAATGTCTTTTTTGTGGAAGTTTACAAATTGGCTGCTGTGTATTGCTATGTTGTGCATGTGGCTGTGCTTTAACATTTAAGGACATGCTGAGGTCATACAAGGAGTGATAGAAAGACAAGTCTTTCTCAGTTGTCTCACAGTTGTACTCTCGAGTACACCATAACCTCCAACTAAGCAAATGATTCATGGTTTCTTGTTCCACCTGTACAGGAAGGCATTGTGGTTTTTGTATTGCTGGCCCATACAGCTGTGCTTCAACGCCCACTGAAGCCAACAGTTGTTTTGGTGGTGGCATTAACTCTCTCTCAATCAAATCCTAAAGTGGAAACAGCATGAAGTCAGAGCACTGTCAGGCTCACTGCAGTGCACAAGAGCACGTGGAATACACCATAAGACTCTCCTGACATCTGGCCTCTGCTCCACTCTGCTTCTCTTATTCGTAAATGCACAACTGTGTTTTATTAATAAGCTGCAGAGGCTGCAGGATCCCAGATGTGACTTTCTAATTCCTCTTTTTTAAAAATTTATTCACTTGGGAATCATGGACAAGGCTCACCCTAAGTTGTCTTGGAGCAAGTTGTGGTGAATTGCGTTCTTGAACTGCTGCAGTGCATGTGGCCGAGGTCTGACCCAATGGTGCACTCTCAGGAAGGGAGTTCCAGGATTTTGATCCAGTGACAATGAAGGAACAGAAATATATTTCCAAGTCAGGATTCTGAGTGGCTTGGAGGGGAACTTTCAGGGGATGGTGTTCCCATGTATCGGCTACCCTTGTGCCTCTAGGTAGCAAAGGTGACAGATTTAGAAGATGCTGCCAAAGCAACCTTTAATAGTTGCTTCTGTGCATCTTGTAGATAGTACAAGCTGCAGCTAAGCTACAACAATTGTGTAGAAACTAAGCCGAAAAGGTGTTGGATATGGAATCGATTAAGTGAGCTGCTTTGGCCTGGAAAGGGCCAGTATTGAACCCAAAATGGGCAATAACCCAGCTGCTCCACCTAGCTTCAGCAGTCCTGGTCTGCAGGAGTAGGAGGTGGGTGCCGGAAGTTCCCATCTCTGATCAGTATCTCATGGTTCTGACAGGTGTTTGGATGTTGAAAGCAGGATGAACCTCAGTTGGTGATGTCATCCTGCCTACTGTCATTGACATAGGTGCACATATGTTGTGATGGTGGAGTTTGTAGGGGGCTGGCAGGGTTAGGGGAGACAGCAACTTGGAGTGTATGTGAAAAGACTCTTCCTGCATTCTATTTTCATTTCTTGTAAAAGTTGGAAGGGGTGATTCTGAGTCCAGATCCCCCAAAGGGAACTGCTCTTACAGAAAATGAACCTTACATGAGCAAAATACAACACCATCAGCACCCGAAACTTTCCACATTCCAATCTCGACAATATTACTCCTCACTGGCATGTGTCTGGTCATAGGAAGAGCCCAACCAAATGATTCTGATTGCAAGGAATCTAATGTATCTGCCCTGGCAGGTTCAGACTTACACTATTTGATCGCGGCATATTGCTGAAAGTGCAAGCTGATAATCTTACTGTCAGGGAAAATGAGCATCTGAGAGCTAAGTAAAGAGGGCTCACAATGTTGTATCTCAGATTCGAATTTAAGGATCTTTATATTCTCAGGCTGAGGAAAGCATAAATGAGGCTGCATAAACTAAATGTCAAATCAGATGCATAACTGAAGTAAAGATGGGGAGAGAAAGTTTGGATGAAGACAGAGGGAGAGGCAGAAACAAAAAGTGACTTAATAAAAATGTTTTAAACTTCAGCATTTTTAAAATCACCACTAACGATTAAAATGTGTAGGAATGAGACTCCATGTTGATAATATATCATTTTCAGTGCTAGACAGAGTGGCTCAAAATTATTAGTATAGATCACTTAATTAAAAAGGTATTTGGATTGAAGTGGACAACAATTAGCATTTTTGGTGTGTTCTGTCTATTTCTAACCAACAAGAACAGGGACTTCACAACACTAATAACATTTTACAAGTGAGTCTGAAGGAGATGCTGCTTGAGAATCTTATAATAGAGAGTTGGACAGTATTTCTAGGTGTCTGCATCACATGTGCATCTTCCCTCATACACATATGTATATCTATGTGTGACTGTCAAAATAATGGTGAGGTTTTTGGTGTTATTTGTGCTGATGTTCAGTTTGGGTTATGTATATGTATAGGGATATGTATAACTACACATACAAACATTATATATGTATAGCCCAAACCCTGAATTGAACTTCAGCAGAAATAACATCAAAAGCCTCTCCCTTATTTTGACAGTAAGGGCTACTGTATTTAAGCCATGGCCTTGGGGGCCAGTATCAGATCCATGCCTCAGTTCTCCAGGGAAATAAATTCACCAATCTCATGCTCCTGACAGGCGGACCAGATTTGAAGAGCTAGTCAGTGATGTGGCTGCAAATGTGCAGTGCTGATTTTTTGGCCTGTGCTCCCACTGAACATGGTTTCCTGCTGGGTTTCAAATGCTGAATTCAGTACTTGCAGAGCAAACTTCTGTGAGAAAGAGTGTCCTAGAACAAAGTGAAGAGAGAAAGAAAGACCTGATGCAACGCTTTTGCACCTTTCAGCATAGCTCCCAATGTTTGAAAACTGAAGTGGTTTCTGTTATGTTCAGATCGGAATAGAGTTAAGCAACTGCACTAGGTGACTGGCCAAATAAGGCAAAGATAATTCTCACCATTGGTTAGGTTGTGATTAAAAAAAATCGAAAATTTCCATTTCCTTCTATTCTGTACCCTTGATTGAAATGATTCATTATTTTGATCTGAGTTTAGCTTTAAAAAGTATTTGTTAAGTGATGGTGAAGAAATTGAAGT